AAAAAAAAAAAAAAAAAGAAAGAAAAAAAAGTGGTGTTTGATTTTTCCTCCAACTATGGGAATAGGAGGAAACCCTTCTTAGCTTACTGCTGGATTTGGTTCAGGGACCACAGCTGGCTGATCTCAGCTGTGGAGCCACTCATCACCAATGGACATGGATCATCTGTCTTGGACACTGTCTCCTCACTGGGGTACACTTATTGACACACACACAACTTAAAGGAGGAGAGGTGCAGTTGGGCTGCCTGCACTTAGAGGTTTCAGTCATAGCGGGATGGCTCCAAGGCAGGAACAGCATGATGGAAGGGCCTGTTATGGAGGAAAGATGCTCACATCATGGTGGTCAGGAAGTAGAGAGGTGGGTGGGGAGCCGGGGAGGGAGATAAACCCTTCTAGGCCACACCTAGTGACTGCCTCCTCCAACCAGACCCCACGTACTAACAGCCCACTCGGCTGCAGAACACATCAGTGGATGGATTCACCAGTGAATACATCATATTGGATGATCCAAGCACCTCCCAAACCCAGCCTCTGAGAGCATGAGAGACTTGAGGATCCTTCTCTACCTGAGCCATAAAACCATCTGTGCTAATGAGTGCTTATGTGGTGAGTCTATACTGAGACAAACTGAAATGCATATGGATTCAAAGACAGCATTAAAAATACTCCACAAAACAGCTCATCATGTTTTGCATGGACTACATGTTAAAATGATCATGTAGATGGACCAGGGATTTAGCTCAGTGGTGCTGCTGCCTGCCTCTGAAGCACAAGGTTCCAAGTTTGATCCCATTACCCTCCACTGAAAAAAAAAAGATTATGCAGGTGACTCCTGACCTAAAAGGGTCTCTACCAGCTCTCCCCCTTATGATGGCTCAAAAGTGATGTAGGTGAGTTAGGCACATTCTGTGCAGTTCTGACTTAGATAGTTCAGCTTCCCCATGGGTCTGTTGGGCCATCGCCCACTGTAAGTTGAGGAGCATTGGTACTTTGGGTTATTTTGAGTTTCATAAGATCTACTGTTAAAACTTGTTTTCACATTTCCTTTTTGTGTTTGAATGTGCCCATCAGGAGATTTAAAATGACTCTGTCACATAGGACAAAGCCAGACCTTCTCTGGTCACCAACTCCCCTTGCCCAGTATCTCCACTCCGTGGGACCACCTTGGAAGCAAGGTGGAGAACTCCTGGCACGGGACCAGGTTCCTCCATCAGGAATCCCTTGGAGCCCAGATGGTAAGCAGGAGCACAGGCAGCCATTTCCTGAGTCATCTACTGGTACTGTTGTCCTTGTTTGCTGTGATGTATGTGGCTCTTAATTTACTCTTTCTGCTAATGAAGAAAGGAGGGTGGGGACACTTCTTCTAGCACCCATGCTGAGCTGCGTGTTCAGCACTCTGCCCTCTTTCTGTTCTTCGTGGCACAGGTCACGCAGAAGCCAGCCAGCTTTGTGCATGGGCTATGCTGGGTCTCGTAACACAGCTCTGAGAGTTTCTATGCAGCAGCCAGTACTCTGCATACCTGGTAAAGGTGCTGGGTATGATCCCCTCCCATTCCAAGGGCTCCCCAGCACTGACCCCCTGCTTCATTGTGACCTTGAAGTGCAGGACTTGTCCAGGGTTCTCTGAAGGGGGAAATGCACTGATTGCAGTGACCACCTCCTCTCTGGAGATCTTGGGTTCAAAGCCCACCCATCCTGTTCATGCCTGCTGCAGATTTCATACTGACAGTTACAACTCACAAATACAGAGCTCTTCCTGAGCATCAGCACAAGCAGGTACCTGGTTTTCCATCTCTGAGGTTGTGGACAGCTAGGTTCCAGAGCTATCCACAGGTGACGCTCAGGCTTAACCTCAGGGAGTCAGGCACCAGCTCAGATGTTCTGGCTTCCATCCAATGTCTCCCAAGAGCCTCCTGCACTCAGAGGCAGGGCTTTTGGAAAGTGATTAGATTACGGGGCTTAGAGCTGACTTGGAATTAGGAGATGGGGTCTGATCAGAAGAGATGTGTGGGGGTGTGGTCTGGAAGATTCATCCCCTCCTGGCTCTTTCCTTAATCACTCTCTACTTCCTGTCTGCCTTGTAATACACTGCTATCTTTCTCCATTCTTTTGCCAAGCCATCCTGTCTTGAAACTAGTAGACTATGGACTGACAACTCTATAAACTGTGAATAAAATAAATCTCTTCTCCCTTGAATTGTGGGTGTAAGGTATTGTGCCTCAGCAAGGAGAAAGTGACTGAAGCGCCAGGTAAGCGCTCCTCCTCCTGCTTGTCATAGGTCTGGCTTCCCAGAAGTCATTAGAGCCAGGTGAATCAGCCATCTGTTTCCACTTCCTGCCAGGTGGGGTTGGAAGAGCCCTCCTGTTGGCACAGCAGGGAGCAGTCTCAGTGGAGTTGCTGATGTTGGGAAGTCTGGCCTTAGAGGTTAAAGCGTACTCTTCCCAGATCTGTAGCACGTGACTAGACTTCTCCAAACTCTGAGCTAGTGCTTATCCCATGTGGTTGCTACTGGACCTGTATGGTAGCCATGGCACTGTCTGTCACAATCACTAGTGGTTTGGTGAATGGCAGTGTGTGAGGAGCAAGAATGGGTCTGCAGAGATGGGAACCCCTGGGCTCCTCCTTGCTGTGGACTACTATACAGCTGTAGAAAGGGACGAGGTCCCTTCTCCATTCCTTCCAGGGCCAGATTACCAGTACATGGGGAGACCCAGGCACAGCACATCAGCCACTTATTTTGGGAGGGCCATGGGTATGTTTGTACCCATGTGTGTTTGTTTAGACTGAAAGGAAACAAATGATAGAATAAGCAGGGACAACAAATATAGTTACCTATGTGGCAGGGCGGGGCAGGGGGTGAGGATTGGGGAGCTGGGGTTCTCAGAGCCCACCCTCTCTTCTGGGTGGGTAGATATGACTTGGACTCATCTTACAGAATTTTAAAACTCAAATAAAAAAAACCACTTTTTAAGGCACTGTCAAAAATTGAGGAACATTGACTTAAATGGAGTGAAACAAATGAGCTTAATGTGTAGGTGGCATAATTTTACAGAGAGGAGTTGTATCAAATGGCTTTAAAATGTAGTAATCTGATTAATATCCAGAATGAAGGCATAACCTAACACAAAATTAAGTGCAAAATAAAATTATAATTGTTCTCCAAAATATAGATAGCTAAAGATAAAGCAAATTAGTTAATGCCACTAGAAAGCAAGATTTTTTTTAATGTTAGAGAAAATTAAAATGTTCAGGTGAAGGCCTGTATTACTAAACTGAAATATCAAGACAAACTTTCAATCATGTTCTCATAAAAAGGGAAGCATAGAACATACTTGTGTAAATGCTGAATAGTTTCTCTGGTGTGAGAAACTGAAAGTGTAAGTAAGGATCAAAATGTATAATAGATAATGTGAAATAGGAAGAAAAGGTCCAATGAGGAAGGGGAAGTGGGAGGAGTAGGAGAAAGGAAAGAAGGGAAAAGGATAAATATGAGAAAAGAAAAAACTGGAAACAAAGTCTTTTAAATAGGGAGGGATGAAGGGGTTGAAGGGAGGTCAGGGGCATGGGGAAAAAAATAAGAACCAAAATATACCATATAAAAGTACAAATTCCCAAAGACAAAGGTCTTCATATCATATACCTGAAATGTACCAATAAACAATGGAAAAAGAAAAGAAGAAAAAAAAAAAGGAATTATTTCTTAATGGACAGAATGGTAACCCACACAGCTGGTACCTAGTTTTTGTGCCTAACACCATTTCTCTTTAGAAACAACAGAAAACTCCTAAGAAGATCCTGGGACACTGTACACTGGAAATGAAGGCAAGCCATTGAAAACCTCCTGGGAGCCTGTTAAAAACGACTAAGGCGCCATCCGAAAAGGCTTCCCTGCCAGGGGGAAAGGAAGCAGCTTGTTCATCAGTGAGCTTAAAACAGCAATGAATAAACTGCACACTAAATATGTTCCAACCCTGTGGTTCAAAATGGCGGCAAACAAACACAAACATACCATCCCTCAGATCCTTCAGATGGTGGGGCCAGCCCGGCCTAAGAAATGGCACAGGGTGAGGCCAAGTGTGGCTACTGTGTGAATGGCACTGTGGTCCCAAGTGCCAAGTGTCGGACACAGGAAGCCCCTAGGATGCCCAGCCAGGGAACTTTTCTAATCCCAGAGAACCCATGACCAAGAGGATTGATCAGCTGTGAGAAAGTGCACAGGAAGTCAAGACTCAAAGGGAACCAGCCTCCCTCCTACTTGGGCTCAAGCCCTGGACTCCAAGCATGACAGGAACAGTAGGGTTGGCAATGAAATGACACCACCAGAGGGCAATCAACAAGTCCAGGGAAGCTGGAGAGACCCATGTGCAGCTTGCAGGTCCAGGGCTCAAATCTCTAACCAATAACTGTGGGAAAACAGGGCAGGTGAGGCCTGTTGAGTAAAAGACTGGAAGGACAGTGGCCAAGGGCCATCTGAAGCCTCTGTGCTTCCTGAGCCTGGCAAACACTTATGAGACACCTGGGGATCCTACTGGGGGTGCAAGAGTTAAGGATTTACTAATTACTTATCAGGCACAGTAATAGCATTGAGCTTAGGAGTGAAATCCCACAATACCTGGGGCTGTCTTCAAAGCGTGTAATGTGTGCAGAGATGCCTGGCAGGGAAGCAAGATTTTGAAGCTGGGCACTTGTTACGCCATCTTTGGAACCTCTGTATATATTCATTTGAAAAATCCCACAATTTTAGAAAATGGAATGTTATCCAGGGGTGGAGGTCAGAAAAGGAATCAGAGGGAGTTGAAAGGGAGACAGACTCCTGTGAAGGAGATGCAATGAGGGAACTAGAGATGTGGGCCCGGCTGACCCCGGTGAGATCTGAGACTGTCCCTCTGGCCACATGGCAAGGGAGGTGGCACCTGGGCCCGCCTGGCCCGTCCCACAGACTCCAGTCTGTCTGGTAACCTCACTTGGGGTTATTTGATACAGCATGGCTGCAGGAGGCCAACAGTTCCACAAACATTGGCGGGCCATAGACATCAGGAGCAATTAAACGTCCAGCCCATGGTCCAGTTGCCTAAGGCTGCCCTGACAAAGGAAAAATGTAGAACAGGAGAAAATAGTTAGGGTGGGTTGTTATGCAATGAAGTAAAATGGAGTGCATATAATTGTGTAAAATACTGAGTGTTCATATACAGACAAAAAGCAAAAATGTCTCTCTACATGAAATGGCTCATATACCATATTGCAAGCATAGAAAAATACAGAAAGCCAGCAAATGTCATTTTGCAAGTGAAGTGTGTGTGTTGAATTTTCCTTTAAAGAATGATGCAAGCCAGTTAGGTGGTGCATGCCTAATTCTAGCACCTGGGAGCCTGAGGCAGGAGGATCACTTGGGCTAAATAGTGAGTTCAAGCCCAGCCTCTGAACTACATGGGGGAGACTCTCTCAAAACAATGACAACAAAAAGAACAATGTGTCTTTCACTGAGGTAGCCACAACGGGATGGACAAAACCCATCCTGCCATTGATCAGAGACACTTGGCTGCCTGTGGCTTTTCCTGTTGGAGCTGTGGGAGGGTGAGGTGGTTGCTTGTACTCAGCATGGTCACCTCTAGTGTCACAACTTCTGGCTTCCTGTGGAGACTGGAGAATGTCATGGCCTACCCTATACAAAGACCCTGCTCCAGAGGAATCCCTTCTCATCCTTTCTCAGCCTTTTGGCTAAGATCAAGTGCAAAGGAATCCCTTTATATTCTCCCATTTAGTTCCACAACACAGGATGGGAAGCAGGTGCCCATGGTGGGCACCTGCCTGGCTCAGTGCATGTGAGGCAGGCATAGCACATTCTGCACCCTTAGAGGTTGGTTGACTTTGTGAATCACCATCTCCCTTCTGGTGTTATAGCCCAAGCTCTCCAAGATTAGCTCTGCTTCCAGAAGCATCTGGAAGTTTCCAGAGACTTCTAGAAGCTTCTGGAGGCTAGCGTTCAGGAGGCTGTGAGCTTTCTTTTAGAGTATGGTGCTGGCTTGTCTGCAGAGGCTCTATATCACCATATCACCCATTGGCCCCCAGAGTCCTACAGTCTTATCATCCTCCACTTTTCAGGGATAAAGGGGAGGAAAAGGACTTCTGGGCACTCATACAGTGAATTTGGAAGATGCCAGAGCTGGTAGCTGACCCCAGAACCCTGTTCATTCTCAGCCTTCATGGAGAAATAGGCACACTCCCTTCCTGGAACACCCTGATCCTCAGCTCTAGACTCCTACGTACACTATCTAGGGCTGCTCAGGGCCAGGTGTGGCCCCCAAAGGGCTGGGTTTTACAAGATGGATCAGCTGTGTTTAGGAATTGAGAGATTTTTGCAGGAATAGCTATCTGACTGGCTCTTCAGTGCAGGATGGGGTACATGGGGGTGGCCCCTGGGGTTGGCACACCCATAGATCTGCAGGTGCTGACCTGAGCTGAGGGCAGGCTCCACCCACTGCTGTGGACTCCCTGCTTCTCCCCTCCTCACAGAACCTGCCAACCCCAGGTGGTGGAGACCTCAACATTCTCAGCTCTGTTCTAGGTGAGCAGGATCCTGTGACTTCCAGCCCAGCACTCCGTAACCTGTGCCTGGACACTCTCTAGCCCTCAGAGAGTTGGGTGAAAGGAAGCCTTGAGAAAACCCAAAGCAGGAACCTGGGAAGAGTTCTGCTCTGTAAATACTAAACAAATCACCCTCAGAACCAGTTTCCTGCTGTGGACACATATATCTTTATGAAATATGAAATCCACCCAAATTTATTAAAAATGCCTGCATCATAGCAGGAACTCACACCGAGCAGCCCTGCATGAGAGCCTCATTATTATCATGGCATTATTTATTTATATCCTATCTGAAGACAGACATGATGTAATCCAGTAATTAAGACGGTTATGATTGAATGTTTATTAAGTGCCCACGGTCAGCCAGCCACAGAGCCCTGTAACATGCATGTTCCCCCAAGAGCATCTGTCTCCCCACACACTGGGAGCCCAGTGTCCTCTCAGGGGTGCAGGGAGAGGGAGCTTGATGGGTTTTGTCTTCCCTGAGCAGACCTGAGAAATGAAGCCGATCAGAAATTGGGCTCTGTTCCGTCTCATTGCGCAAATGGGATGAAATGGGAAGGCTCCACAGCTGGCGAAGCAGAGAGGTGGGCACAAAGGGCCTGTGGCCATGCCTGGGCGAAGAGCAAGCTTCCTAGAAACCAGAGGTGGGCCAGGCAAGGTGTGCTCTTTAAACTCAGCCCAAGCCTTTGTCCTATACCTTTGTCAATCTAGTGAAGGTCCCTGCTCTGACGTGTAGCAAGCCAATGTTGGTCAGGTGCCTCTTGTGTGCCAGAGGCTGGAAGGAACCTTTCCCCACCTCTCCTCTCTCTGTCCCCTG